CTTCTACTTACCTACTTTTGTTGCTTATAAATCAAAAAGATACTTATACCAATCATGACGCAAAAATGACCCGACTAGCTCAAGCTCATACAAGAGCAGATTTAGGATGGATAGAGAATCCAAACTTATTAAGTGGGTAGTGGGTTTATTCATACCAGCAGTTAAAGCAATCGGAGGAGGACACATTCTTGTATTAGATGGTCATTAAAAGTTGTTAAATATGTAAAGAAAACAGTTTATGATTGTTCTACCTACATGCTCATTTAAGTCGTATGTGCTTTAGGGGCTAACAGCTTATTTAAGTCATAAGTCATTTAGGGGTAATTAGAATAGTTCTGTTGACCAGCCTCTAACCCTTTCTTCATCTATTACAATGAAATAGATGTAAACCTGTGTTACATTGTTTCCTGCCTAGAATGATGAATGCTGGATCTCCTTGACTTTTCTCATAAGTTTTTGCATGTGCCTCCTTGATAGTGGCTATGGAACTCTTCCTGTTATCTGAGGGTAATGAGGGTACTGCTTTAAAACTGCTTTAATGGTTCTGAGGCCAGCTGGTAGGATAGTTTCCCGAACTTTGTGGTAGCTCTCAGAGAGGCTAATTCCATCAACAGCTGCAAAATAGTGCAGTGTTAATAGTGCCATGTTGTGCATGGATGGTGTCCCTATTAATGCTTTTGGTGCACATTGTCAAGGCCATATAAGGAGCCATGTGTTGCAACTTACGGTTAATTAACAGGACTGAGAAAATTGTAAAGCTCATTGCTAGGAAGGCCAGGTTCTATCTATGAATGAGTCAAGTTCTCTTTAAACTTAAATATGTCAAAAGTAAATATTGAATATAAAAAAACATCTCTATAACCTAACTGTTTTAATATATCTTTTACTGATATTCGTGGTCTGCGCAACAACCCTCCATTAGTTAAACCTTACCTATTGCAAAATTACCATAATTGCTTGCTCTTAGTGAGACTACTTTCAATTCTGCTATTCTTTCTTCTGATCTCAGTGTTGATGGGTAATATCATTTGATTCACAAAGACTCCAATAGTCAAAAGCTTAGCTTAGGGGTATACATACACAACAATTCACCTATTAGACTATTCTATTATGAGCATCTGCTTAGCACCTCTTCAGTCTATCACCTATCTCTTTGTTCTTTATCATTCTCCTTCTTCTTAAGACTGCACTCTTTTGATATAATTTCTGATCAAATTGACCATGCTCTCTTTACCACTCTGCCAATATTGTTGTTATTGGTGACTTTACCTATCACACTGATTGACTTGGCTCTAACGCCACTAACCATGCTGGCACCAAAGCCTATAAATTCTGTATTTCTCAATCTCTTACTCAGTTAAATTTGTGACTCATTTTCCTGACAACCCCAATCATTTAACTTTACTCCTTGATTTATATCTGGCCTCTGAACCTAGTTTGTGTTAAGTTTCTCCCTTTTTCCTATATTTGGTTCTGACCATGATCTCTTTAAATCTTTTAAATCTCATACTTTATTTTCAGACTCACCCTAATTACTACCCTAAAGCTGACTAGGACTCTTTTTATGATTTTCTTTGTGACGGTACTTGGGATCTTTTCCCTCTTAGCTGAAAAATGCGCCTAAGTAACCTCCTGGATTCAGGCAGGAATGGATGCTTTTATTCCTTCTTGTCGTTTCCAAGTCAAGCCTTATTCTACTCCATAGTTTTTACCCTCTTGTGGAGCTGCTATATCTAATCGTAATCATTTTTTTTATCTTTTTCAAAAGAACAACTTTTTTATCATTTTTAAAAGAACAAACAGGTATTTATTATAGCAAGAAATCGATGTAAAACGGTGCTCCCAGATGCTAAGCTCTATTATTCTCAGTTCACTAAATCTTGTATCTTATCTCAAAAGTTAGGCTCTATAAACCTTTAGAAAATCTTCAACAGCGTTATTAACAAAGAAAAGTCTAATTCTCATTCATTGTTCAAGGTCAACATTCCATCTCTCATTCATTGGTCTGATCTTATTACTTCTCCCAAGGATAAGGAAGAACTATTTGCAAAAGAACTTTTCTTCTAATTTGACTCTTAAATATTATGGCCATTCACTTCCTTCCATTCCAATTAAACAGGTTAACTTATTGCTAGACATTCAAATCACTCCAGTTTCTGTTGCTAAAGTCATATCTCAATTAAACTCTTCTACAACTTGTAGTCCAGACAACATTCCTAACACAGTCTTACAAAATTGTTCTCCAGAACTCTCTTCAATTTTCTCTAAACTATTTAGTAAGTGCTTGACTGAGTCTTGTCTTCATACCTGATAAAAAATGGCATCTGTTGTTCCAATTTTCAAAAGTTCCGGTGAACATTCTGACCCCTCCAATTATTGTCCGATCAGTTTTCTTTCTGTTATTAGCAACGTCTTTAAGTCTTCGATAAACAAATTTCTCACGTCCCATCTTGAGTCAAACAATTTGCTGTCATTCAATCAGTACAGTTTTTGATCTTCT